TATAAATATATATATATACATATTTAAATAAACATTGAATGGTGGGGTTCTTAGTCTTTCAAGCCAAGCAGATTCCATATCAGGGTGAGTAGCCGTTATGCTTAATTGGTGTCCTTATCGTGTTTTGACTCTTGACACACACACACGGAGGCACAGACAAGTTTATTGAGCTCCCGCTTATTTATGCACAATCATTTCAACATTGCTGGTGTGTTCTGCATCCTGTACAATGACTAACAATTCCTTACTTCAGGCAGTCACATATGCAAACCCCTGGTGCCAGATAAGTGATGGTATACGTTGTAGACATCATTGTCTTCAGGTGTATGTTTTATTTGGACACTACATTTCAGCAATGGTGTCAACTCATAGCAAATCGTGACGCACTATCATAATCTAGGTATCGGTATTTGGGCAGGCAGTACAGTCGTCATACCCCGGCAACCCTGTCCATTCTCAAGTTCCATTCTCCATCAGATCTAAACGACTAATACGTTCTTCCACTCATAATTAATCGTATCCAGTGTAGTCAGTGCGGTTGTGACCATTAGCGTTGTCCCTATCATTGTATTATTCTCATCGTTTCAGACCAACCCAGCATTATACTAAGGTGCATGTATCAATTGGTGAGTACTAAGTTTGTTTGCATTCTCATAAATGTAACTACCAGCTCTTCGTGGCTGGATTTTCACACCTGTGTTGTAATAGAATGTTGGGCCAATCAAGTAACACATTTGGTTTGGAACCTGGAGGGTCGTTATTGTTGACAGCCAAAGTAATCCATCATGTTTTTGGCTGCCCATTAGGCTTTGCATTCCGCCGGTTGGTTCTTGATATCCGGTCCCTATTTGCCAAGAGCTCTTTACATGCTTTCTTGTCTGAGTTTAGTTCATCTGTAAGTCTGTGCACCAATTACAGATGTCGATTCCATCATTGGGCGAACTAGGAGTTGTGGTTTTTGATGACCATTAAGCAACCATGCATGTTAGATTTTTGGTTGTGTGTTGCTGTTATTGTACTGGTCAGATTGATGCCATGCAAGCATTTTTTCACCATAACCGAAGACCCCCGTCTGCAAACATAAAGCACACAGAAATAAACATCTTAAACATTGCCAATACGAAGTGTGTAATTTGAGCCAGACAAAGCATGTTTCGTTACCACAAGCCAAGGTTGAACTAACTGTTAACATAACGATTGGTTCGAGATGCAAATTGAAATCTTCAACCCGATCATAGTGCTTTTAGACTTCTTTTCATGTAAGCGCGTCTATATCTTCACTGCGATGGTCTGTCGCCGGGGGGTTGAGCCTATCTAAACCTTTGTGCGACAGAGATTTCTGAGTGTTCATTGGTCCCGACAACAGGATCGCTTATACACCTCTAGATCGATCATGCAGTCGGCTGGCAGCTCAGTAGCGTGTATTCGAGCAGATGAAGCTACGTCAGCAACACTATGCACTGCTGCAGAGCAGCGTGTTTGACACGCAGCCTTTCTCTCGTGCACACTTGCGGACAGATGATTTCAAGGCGGGGCTGTGCCGTCCCAAGGCAGTTGCTGAGCTGGAGACGACTGCAGCGACGATGCGGCTGTCAGACTCCATGAGTAAGTCGGCAGAGGTGTGGCTTCCGGCGGTTCAATCGGATTCAATCATCACAACGAAGGCTTGGTCTCGCCGTCAGGTCATGAAGCAAATGAACTCCCTAGTCAGGATTCCCGAAATGGAGGCGCCGTGGTCGACTCGTGATCCGAGAGCACGTTAGTGCTGGAGTGGCAGGAATCGATCAGCTCCATGAGGCGGGAGATGATGCGGGCAGGCCTCCGTTTGCCGAAACCGAGAAGTGGCCAAAGGGTTTAGGGCCGCTTCCTCGTGCAGGCCTCATCGACGAACTGATCGACGAAGGCATGGAAGAGATGGCCGCAGCCTCGGATCCGCTGCGGCTCCATGAACCCGAGCGAGAGAGCAAGCACGATGCAGGACGGACCGGATCTCGAGGTTGAGGCTTGGGCATTTCTGTGCTGAGTAGGCGAGGCCACACTCGGAGAGAGTGCAAGGCCGAAGCAGAGGTGGACAAAGTGCTGGACCTTACGGGGCTTCGGGGGGGGGGGGGAGGCAGTTCGATCGGCTGGGATTGTTGCTAGGCTAGCTACCCCAGCCTTTTTTTGTGCAGGACGATCTGGCCATAGACGCCTCTGTGCGCATGGCAATCTCCAAGCCGCAGGCCCCAAGCCCGCACCCATGCAGCGTAGTTGCGAGCTAACCTTTCGAACTGGGTAGGCGGCGGCGGTAGCAGCCCCCGCAGCTGCGACGTCGGCTGCAGTGCCAGACCCCCAGCTGGTGGTGCGAACAGCTGGAGCATGGCCGAGCAGGATCCATCAAGTCAAAGAGGTAAGGTGGGCTTCGAGCAAGCACCGCCACAATTTTGGCTGCAGCAGTATAGTTTGAAAACAAGGACCCAAGGCACGGTTTCCGCACAGCAACGAGGTGTTGGGCCTGAGGATGGGGCTTGCTCTGCAAGTCTCAGTGGTAGTTTTTTCAGAACAGGCCCCACATATGCTGACATACACAGGGTCTATTTCACCTAACATTGGGGCAAGAGAAAAAACAAAGACCAGGCGAGAGGGCCTCCGGCAACCCGGCCGCATCATGTCACAGGAAGGGCAAAGCGATCCCTAGCAGCACTGAAATCCTCGAGATATCCACCCTCACTGGAACGTTTGTTCGTCGCTCCTGGACTCGCAAACTCAACGAACGGGGAGAAACACACACATGGGCTGAAGAAATAGACAAGCCATGCCAAACTTGCGATGCTGGCCAACTGCGAGGAGCGAAAGCTTGAAGGAGTTAAAGCAAAGCCATGAATAAAAGGAGTGCGAGGTTGATCCCTTGAATAGTGAGTTCTTTCTGCCGTCTCGGCTGCTGGCAATAGCGCCGGTAATCTGTCTAGGCTGAGTGATGGTGTGGGACTTTGCTGCTAGTTTTTTTTCTGTACTTCCCACAAAACTACACAAGTTGCTCTCGCATACATAGCACTGTTGCATCTTGCGTCACATTTTAATAGCACGAAACTTGATTTAACTATGAGCTCAGGCTCAGACGACCTGTTGCATTTGGTGATGCTATGCCTTTTCTAATTTTATGTCTGAGCGCTGCCGTGACGGCAGAACAGGTGCTTGATGTTTGACGAATATTCTATGGACCTTTGTCAGGACACACAACTGGTCTGTCCATTTCTCGGCTGAGGCCGCAGCAGCGGGCAGCGGCAGCAGCTGGCTACGCTGGCTGATGCTGGCTGATCTTGGGCCTCAAGCAGTGCGCCAGGCACATGTGTGCTTCAGCCAAGCTGAGCATGAAACGCTGTTTCAGTGGCAGCGACCACCGGGCGCACAGTTCCAGCGGCTTTAACAAATGACTCGTACGTTTGCACGCCAGCTTCGAAAGGTGCGAACTAGCTGTTCTGCGAACTCGAGGTTGTAGTTCACATTACTGGCTCGAGGCACATTTCAGTGGTGGGTTCTCTTAGATACGAGTCAAGTGCCAGACGGGAAGGTTACAATGTTGCCTGCATCTGCCTGAATGACTTCGGGACATACAGGAGCAAAAGCACGCTTTTGTTTGCGCTTTAATTCTGTGGATGGGTTCAATACACACGCCTCCGACATGGCAGTCTTGCTTCTCATGGCAGCTGCGATTGCAGCCGCGGGAGGCCGGTCCATGGCAAAGGCGGAGTTGAGGCCGAGCTTTGCAGAGCTTTGCGCTTTTCGCATTCCGCAAGGTGCTCTCGACCTGCCCTCCTTGGCAGGGCAGGTTCAGCTGCTGGGCTTCTCTGGCGACCAGACGAATTACAACGAGTCTGCTCCCCACATGCGCTGGACGGGCCATGTGGGCGTACGCTTCCAACATGCGCCGCAGGACCATCCGGGTGGTGGGGCATTCCTGGACTTTGGTGCAGTCGTGGATCTGATTTGCCGGTTGCAGGGATTTGTGGTTTGGGTCATGTGCTTGCAGTTGCTGTCCAGCTTTTTTCTGTGTAAAGGCTGGTCAGGACGCTGTACGGTCGCGCCTAAGCCGGGCCTAAGCGACCGTTGTGATGTGATGATTCAGGACACCGTGTTCGGCTTCACGCCCGACACGGTGCTAAGGCAGGACATGCATGCGCTGGTGTCGACACTGCTGGAGGGCAACAGCTTCCCTGGCAGAGTGCCTTGTCCAAGTTTGGCAGAAGTTTTATTTATCGCGTTCCAAGTTTGGACTTGGAATAGGTTGAGGTCCTGCAATGGTGACATTGCCTAGGTATCGAACGACTTTCCAGACTTTGACGATGCTGCGCTGTCGCCTTTCGGGGTCGTCTTCGTGTTCTGGGACATCACGGGGACCTGCAAGGAAAAAGACTGTGGACTGTCTTCCGTCAGGAAAGACATGACTGACATGAGCAAGTCCTACGCATTTCCGCCAGAGGCACCACTCAAATATCGAGGAACAACATACTCTGCTTGCACGACCACCTGGGGCGAGACGTGCTTCAATTGCGCCACATATCCCAAGTCAGTGGGGTTGCCAATTCCGGAAGATGCTTCTCTAACATTGTAGCATGCTTTGCCGCTATGCTTCTCTGGAATGTTCTTCTTGGCTTTCGCTTTCTTACCAGATCCGGTTGTTCCACGCGCCGGCTAAGGACACTGGGATGCTGCCCGAATATTTGGAGAAGATGGCTTTGCTGCATGGCTCCTTTTGCAGATGCTACAAATCTGGCAGATGGCATTCGAAGTCTGATTGCTGGGCTGAGAGAAACAGAGTTCTTTTCAACACCTGTACATTTGAACAGCCAGTGGAAGACCTTTGAGACGCTTTTGCCGGAGCTCGAGACTACAACTGTACAGTGTCTCGGGTCAGGATGGTGTAGGTTTGCTCTGCAGTTGCACTGCTCCTGTGCAGGGAACCAGAACCAGCCAGCTTGATGTCCAGATGGGCCCAGTAGTGCTGACGCTTCGCGATCCTTTCGCTACCAAGTCCCGTGTAGCGTTGGCTCTATTCCGGATAAACGGCGTAGTCCAGGATTGCAGACTGCCAGACATCAGAACGTCGAGTGACTCGTAGTATGCATATCTAGTGGAGGCTTCAGGCATGCTCCCAATGATCTTGATAGTCCAAGGGTTTGTCCTGGTGTGACAGCAGCATACAGCAGCTTTCACAGGTTACTGCTGTAGGACCAGAAGGCCATTGCTATGAGCCATGGCTTGGGCATATCAGCAGCCCGGTCCGTACACACAAGGACATGTCATGCTGGCTTTGGTGTGGTATGCTGGGTTTCATGAGATTCGATGAGCTGCAAGGACACAAGGGTGCCAAGGGCAAGTGGTCCAAAGGCTCTGACTGAAATGTCCCTTTTGACTTACTCTACAGTCGTACATGATAGGCACCAATGGCAAGAGTTTTCCCGGCGCGGCTGGGCGGCAAAGTTGTGTGTGGCTTTAGCATCAACTGCCATGAACATAGGAATTGGCTTTCACATGTGTTCTAAGATTGAGTCAGCAGCCATGCAATTCAAGCTGCGACTTGCAGTGTTGGACCTGGGACTCGTCTTAGTTCACGTGAATCCCGACATTTGCCGACCGCTAGATCCGTGGAGCTTACGGTGGTTGTGGCTAACGGTGAAGGGTGGCGTCGTGCTGAAAGTCATTCGCCGTACGACATGATGCACTCCCCCTGAGGACTCAACCCTTGGTGACTGCTTTTCCCCAGCTTTCGACCCTCTCTTGGACGACACCCCATCTGCGGAAAAGAAGGTCTTGCCAGTGACGGTCTCTTACCTTACCGCTGGTGAGCCGGTGGATGTCTTCCATCGCTATTGCCAGGAGTGATAACAGCTGCATTCCAGAGCGCCAACTTTCTGAACTGCCATGCACACGCAAGTTCGGAAGTTGAAGACTTGGAGATCAGCAGGACCCCAATGGCTACTTCATGGCACAGACGGGCGCATCGGGCCTCCTCCATCCGAGTATCGGAAAGAACTGCGCTGTGAGAATGTTTGTTTGTCTGCCTCTGTGCATTTGTACACAATTTTATCACCCTCTCAAATGTGCTGCGTCTGCTCAGTGAGCGGCGGCCAGGACTGATGCCTGGACCACCGCCGTGGTGAACGAACACTGGGATGCTCAATACTACAATCCCCAGGACAATTAACGCAGGCCTTTGCTGCAAGGTATGTTCTCCCGAGCCTCGCCAGGACTACAACACGTGGGTTCAGATCCGATGGACGCATCCTACATGGTACAACAGAAGGCGGAATACCGAGCTTGTCCCTTTAGCAGTGTTGAATCGTAAGCAAGTACTATCTTTCTCGACGAAACTTGATTGCTATTGTGCTATTGCTTGATGCACCATGCACAGAAGCCTGCTGACATTGCAACATTGAAATGCGCAGTTGAGGGGACATCGCCTGGATGTCGAAGTCTCGGCGTGGTCGTGCTTGTTTCAGAAAGGCGAGAGATGTGCTCGACCGAGGTGAAAAACCCTAGCATGGTGACACAAAGAGTGATGCCCGAGCAGATGCCTGGCTGCGCAATTTTCAAGTCATCTTGACATGTTCACGAGGTGGCATGGCCATAGCATGCCATCGCCGAATTTCGACCTTTGCGAGGATACGCCAACGAGGGAAGCCATCGGAGGTTGCTGCCTAAGATCTCATCATATTGCAGCTTTCAGAGGGCACCCATGCACCGAGGCGCAGCAGCGGCCACGGCTTTCTTTGCGGGGCATCCAGTGCTTTCTATCTGGAACGCCGCCAGTCGCAGAAACAAGTTCAGGTTGCACGTGCGATGGGGTGGGCAGCAGCCAGTGAATCCCGTCACAGAGGCACAAAGGAGGAGACCTCGTCCAGAAGCTATTTCTGTTTCTCCTGGCAGGGCGCCGGTGGTTGGGGGAAGATCGGATCCACACCATCAGACAACTACATCAACTCTTGGGAGGTGAACCGAGCGATCCCGTCCTGACTGTATTGGTTGATTCGCTTGAAAATGTTGCAGGACAGCGTCTTCCGGGCTTTGGGGCCCAACTACGAAGTAGTCTCTGTCTTCTTCCAGAACTCGGAGGACCTCCTCGGACAGCTTGGAGACTGTTTCGGGTGCATTTGCGACAGGAGCTGTCCAAACTCTGCCCTCCGCTCTTGAAGACATTGCTCAGAGGCTGTCCGCTCCAAGCCTTTGTGGGTGTCACGATGTTGTGCTCTCAAGGAGAGCATGTCGGAGCACTCTACTTCATGTGGCCCATTGCCTTTCAGGCCCGAATTTGACTGGATCCTTCGGTTGCTTTGCTGTCAGGAAGCGTTTTTTCTGTTGAGCGAAGGATGGACACGAAACGCCGGCGTACGTCCAGCGGGAAAAGCAGCTTGACATGATGGTCCAGATGGAGGTGGGCTCGGGCCAAATGCAAAGCCAGGCAAGGGCACGAGCAATGGGTTTCAAGGCCGCTGGCATCCCGACGCGCTTTCCCCACCAGTCACACTTGTACAAGGCCGTGCTGCTCTGTCTGCATGGTGGCTCAGAGTTCATGAGCTCCGCGTGAGTGCAGGTGTTTGCATCGAAGGAGTGGACCAGCCAGATGTGTGGTGGCCTTCAATGGCTTCACGCAGAAAATGCAGATGTGCTAAAGTTATGCTAAGGCCTGCATCCGCTCCTACATGTGCCGCTAACCACAATGGTAGCGCGGCAGGCGCGTCCGTCATCCATCGAGTGAACTTTAAGAGTTCCGCGGAGCCTTGTCAAGGCGATTGTGACGGATCCAGCTGGTGCAGCCTCGGATGCGATGAAAGCTTTGAACAATTTGGCCGAGGCCGGAGAAGCTCAGAAGCTCGCGTCCTGCTGTTTTTCTTCTGCTTTTCGGGCAAGGCTCGCCACAGTTGGAATGCTCAGCTTGCGCAGCCCCCCAAGGCCTGCCTCTCGCTTCTTGATGCACGGAAAAGTGAATTTTGATGGTATCTGCAGGCAAAGCGTGTAGTTAAAGGAGTCACCGGCTCACATCTTGTTGGCAAAGCACGGGGAAGCTCGAGCCTTCAAAATGCTTTCCTCAGGTTGCCAAGCTGGGATGGAGCTGGGAAGCCATGGATGTAACTGCCTGGAAAAACAAGGAGGCCGCGGCCTTCCCTTAGACTCCTTCACTCTTTGGAGGCTCCATGACAAAACATGGCAACTTGGCTAGGAGCTCGAGATGGCTCTCTGCGAGCTGAGCGAGCAGCCCGGAAATCTCTGCGACCAGATCTTTGTGCAGGAGAGTCAAGGGGGGCGATTACATATGCAACCTATCAAAGACTAACCTGATACTAGGAATGGCTCGACTTCGACGTTGAAATGCGACACTTCATTGTCGAGGCAAGTGTGCGTTATCTGTATCTACTCTATACCACTGCAACGGCTGCATGTAAAGGCAAACTACGATGACCCGCAGACCTGGAAACCGAAGCAAATTGTTTACACTGTGGCTGCCTGACGGGACAAGCGTGGGACGAAAAGTTTGACGATGCCGATGTTCAAGTCAGGTCTTCAAATCCAAGGAAGACAACTCGTTTCGAAATTTTGACAGGCCGGGTTTCGATTGGTTTCCGTGTGGAGCAGTTCTGAGCTGTGAGGTGGATCCAAAGCTCGGAGACTGCATTGCATTGGTGCTTAAAGCCTCTTGGAAGGTACGACCGACTGGGCTGCCTGGGCAAATGCTTCCAGAATGATGACGCTGCTCTGGCAGATGCAGAGCGTCAGGCTGAGGCCCTCATCGCCAGGCACCGCCAACCGCCGCATGGACAACACCATACCGGGCCACAGATTGCATCAGGTGGATTCAGTGGCTTCAAGCTCAAAGTCATCAACTCCCTGTCGTAGTGGCAGCCATAGAGTCGCGATTCGACTGGGCTCCGAGTGCACAAACTCAGCCTGGTCCAGTTGCCACCGGTCGAAGGTCAGAATGGATATCGTGGCGAAGCGCACGGGTCCTGGCAAAGCTGTCGTCCACACTGGAGCAGAGACCCCAGTTCATGTGGCTCTATCTCAGTCAGCTTGGCTTCGTCGTGCTGTGCACTGAGGAACTCACTGAACTCGGAGCCTGCTTCTTGGGCTGGGCGAAAGGTCCCCAGGCAGTCTGTCTGAGTCTTTTCCTTCCCTCTTTAGGAGAGTTGCCTGCTGTCTGCAGGTGGTTTTTCCCGCCATGCTCCGGTCCTGTTTCAAGGACAGACCCACGGCCGGGTGACCCAGGATGGCCCAGGTTAATGAGACATGGCAGTGTGCTAAACTTACTGTTTCAGGAAGACGTGCAGATGGAGCTGTGGTGATTAGTCCATCTGGTTTCGTGCAGCTTCTGCTGTGCGATTTTGAGCCTTTAGGCCACCCGTTCCTCGCAGCAGTGGTAACAGTGCCAGCTAGGCAGAGAAGAAGGTCTCCTTGACAGCCCAATCGTGTGGCCCAGCACCGGGGACACGGAAATGTGCAGGACTCTCAAGGTCTGGCGAGTCGAGATAAGAGCAAGAGAATCAGCTAACACAAGCATTTGTTCCTCAAGGATAGAGATGCCATGATCTGACTGCTTGGGCTTGATGTCAAATTGCATTTTCTCAAACCAGCGGGGCTCCTCTTTGGGGCAATCTCTTGTGCCAGAAGCTTGGATAATCAAAAGTGTGTCGCGTCACATGCACGAACAGTTGTCATTTCTCCAAATGGCCGCTTGAATTTCGAGGTTTTGTTAAATGCATTGACGAGTGCACGGAAGAAGTACGGACGGCTGAGCGCGGCTGAGTTCTTATCGCATCTCTCCCCTGGCCCGAGCATGAGCCGAAACGTCAGGTGCACATGTTGATGGCCTGCATAAGATGAGCCAGGCCTTTGTCCGATGGCCTTGGGCAGCTTCGGTTTGCGCAAAGCTAGGTGTGGGTGTGCTTGGCTCTGCTGTTGCTGTCCTTCGAAGGAGGTTGGACTCGCAAGATAGGTTGTTGGAGAGGATGTGGGACACGCCTCTCGATCTGGAGAGGGCATGGCACCTGTTGCAGAGAGCCCTGCTGCAATAGGACTGGCAGCGCGTCCGAGACAAGTCGTAGCCTTACCAAGATGTCTCAGTACTGTAGCTTGTTTTTTCTGGAAGTTTATGTCATATAGGGAAAGCATCTTGTCCTGGCTCCTTGGCTAGTGGGAACCTCGGCGTCTTTTTTGCTTCCCCACCGCGTGGTTGGACTTTAGAGGGTCTCGGTTTATGGTCTCTGCCGCTTCAGCAACTTGCGGTTCTTGGCTTTTCACACCTTCGATGTGAGGGTTCTGTGTTTTCACAGAATGCAGACGCTATCCCTGATGTTGCATCTACCCGGCTTGCCAGCATGAAAATTTGGGCGGAGGTGCACTACAGAGTTTTGCTGGGGACATATTTTGCTTCGCCAGACTTAGGAGGATGCAGCAGTGGAGGTTGACATGGACACGTCACCGTCATCGCCGGTCTCGACTTTGGAGGCGAATGAGGTGCGCAAACTGCTTCACGGGTAGTCGTCGTCGTTTAGAGTTCATTTTTCCCGCTCAAAGCTCTTAATGACAGGGATGTGCAATCTTGCTTTCTTTGGGCTGGGGTCTGTGCTTTCCATGGCGGGGCAGAAGATTGCATTTTCTCGTCTTCTCGGTGTTGCACGGTTCGGGAAGCATTGTGGTCGACTTGAGAGTCTGGACATCTTTTGGAGGTTACTAGGCTTCTGCGAAGCCAAAGCCAAAATGTAAAACCTAGCATTGAAATGAGGCGGAGTGCCTTTAAGGAAGCCTTTCTGATGGTGGCCAGTGGTTTCGTGCCGTTCGAGTTAGGAGGTGAGGGTGTCTGACGCAATGGCACAGCTGCTGGAGGACGTTGCCGTGGACGCAGATGCATCAGCATCGGCCTGGACTTTGCAGGAGACGAAACTATTGTTTCCTCCCGATCTGGCTCCGGATGGCTGTTGCTTTGGTTCCGGTCGTCTCTTGATGCTGAGTATGGTTGAGTTCTGTTTCCGGTTCGAGCTTTGGACAGGCTTGGGGTTCACTGCTGGCTCACAACCTGTTGCGGATCGTGGCTGGACCTGGTGGGCTGCGGGCGAGGGGGAGCTAGCCTCGCGGTTTCCGGATGTGAGATCTGCGGGGAGTTTTCCGGCTCTGCGTTATCCCCAAAGCAGAACGAGACGCGAATATCAGATTGTCAGGCCTGACGAGTCGTCTTCCTGACCCTGACCCAAATGCCGTGCAACTTTGCAGACTGTTGCTATTGCTGATCCCAGTTCACAGCTTTGAAACCTACTGCACACATTTGCTCAAAGGGCATCTCATTTTAAGGGCATCTCATTTTCTCTGCACTCGGAGGAGCTCGAGCAACAAGCGAAAGATTTGGCATCGACCGAGGACCAGTGGTGCATGTAAGCACGCCTTTCTCGAATAGCAAGTTGGCTGCACGATTCCCTGGCGGTCCTGCTGGCGCCAGTGTAGAGCGAGCTCTGCTTGCGACTCGCATTCTCGTCACAGTGCCGGTGCCGTACACATGTTGGGGTGATTGCAGTCTGTGCACAGTGACAGTGGCGTTCTACAGTTGGATTTGTCTTGGGAGGGTGGTCCTGGAGTTGTCTCACGATGTGTCCCGACCTGCGTGGTCTTTCATTGTTTTGGGTCCGTGCCGGCAATGCCGGCATGGCATCATCGTGGCATGTGGTCGAGTTCCTGACCATGAGCGCTGTAAGCTTTTGCGAGCTCCAGGCTCGAGGAACCTAAGAAGTGTTCACTAACAAAGCGGACAAAAGTGCACCTTGCGCCTGCAGGAGCCAGAGGAAGCGAAAGATTCGACATTGATCCAGGAAAGGTGCTGTTAGAAACCTTTGTCCGACCTGCACGCTGGGCATCGGTTTATGACTTGTACTATTTTGCAGCTGTAACCAGCACCCTTTTGGGGGGATGCTGTCTGAGGAGAGAGTGACCAGAAATTAGGCAAGCCCGAAGCACAACACGGCAATGCAGATGATGGGGAACACTTTTGGCTGACTGCGTCTCATCCCGGTCCCAGACGACTGCAGGAGGACATGGCCATTGACACAGACGCATCAACCTCGGCCTCGACGGAGCAGACGGATCATGCTTCTCTGCGTCTTGCCAGTGTTTCTGGCACTTGATGTGGAGTACAAAGTCTGGTTGCTAATTCTCCTCTGCTGCCCCAAATGCATATGCAGTTCTTCAAGACACTGCTACCACTGACACCCCTGTCGCTGACGTTTAGCAGACTACCACTGCGTTGGCGGCAGAGAGCGTGCTGCGCTTGGAGGAGCCGGAGCAACAAGCGGAAGCAACGACGTCGATCCAGGAAAGGCGATGCATGCAAAGACCATTTCTCGTCCAAAATGCTGGGCGGCAGTTTCGTGTCTGTGTTCCCACTGCACTTCCAATCTATCTGCAGCTAGTAACCGCCTCCTGCTATCGTTAACCTCTAACTCTGACACCAAATATTATTGAGGCATTTTGCCGGGAATGCAACGAAGGGAACCTAGAACAAATTTCTGAACCTGCATCGAAGCAAGCTCGCGCTCGCTCTCGCTTGCGCTCGCGCTTTGCTCTCGCTCTCGCTCGCGCTTTTGCTCTCGCTCACGCTCTCGCGCTCTCTCTATCTCCTCTCTCTTTCTTTCTCGCTCTCTCTCTCTCTCTCTCTCTCTCTCTCTCTCTCTCTCTCTCGCCCGCTCTCTCGCTCTCTCTGCACAGTTTCGCAACTGCATAAAGCCTGCGATGGTAAGAGCGAGAGTGCAACCGCAGGAACGTAGGACGGCAGGGTCTGCGACCTTCAACGGAAGGTTTGAGAATCAAGCACTGGGCAATGGGAACTAGCAATACCTTCTAATATTACATAGTGTGCCACAAGAAGTTCCTAAGTATTGGGGGAGAGGGGGGCGTGATGTAATTGTCAATTGGGGAAGCACCGTTTTGGAGAGATGCAGTCTGAGAACACCTGTGACTGACTGCGTCTCATGCCCGTCCCAGACTACTGCAGGAGGACATGGCATCAACCTCGGCCTCGACGGAGGCAGACGCATCATGCTTCTCTGCGTCTTGCCAGTGTCTCTGTGGAAGGGTACTTGATGTGGAGTACAAAGTCCGGTTTCTAATCCTCGTCCCTCCACCGCATGAGCGCATGCAGCTCTTGAAGACAATGCTACTTCTGACACCTGCCACTGCGTTAGCCGCCAAGAGCGTATTAACCTACCTGAAATTGAAATTGCTGGAGGAGCTCGAGCAAGAAGCGGAAGAAACGACGTCGATCCAGGAAAGGCAGTGCATGCAAAGACCATTACTTGTCCAACATGCTTCCATGTGGACGATGCGGAACGCTTGTGGCTGAGTCCGTCTCATGCCCGTCCCAGACGACTGTAGGAGAACGTGGCCGTAGACACAGCCGCATCAACCTCGGCCTGGACGGAGGCAGACGGATCATGCTTCTCCGCGTCTTGCCTGTGTTTCTGTGGAAGGTTGTCCTGTGGAGTACAAAGTCCGGTTGCTAATCCTCGCCCTCCACCGCATGAGCACATGCAGCCCTTGAAGATAATGCTACCACTGAAACCTGCCACGGCTTTAGCCGCGAAGAGCGTATTAAATACCTGCAATTGCTGCACTTGGAGGAGCTCGAGCAAGAAGCGGAAGCAACGACGTCGATCCAGGAAAGGCGGTGCATGCAAAGACCATTTCTTGTCCAATAAGCTGGTTGGCAGTGTCGTATCTTGTGCCCGCAGCACTTCCATTCTATCCGCAGCCAGCAACAAGCACGGTTTTGGGGAGATGCTGTCTGAGGAGAGTGTGACAAGAAGTTAGGCATGCCTGAAGCACAATTCATCGATGTGGAGGG